GTTTCTTCTTCACAAATGTACTCAAGTAAAAGTAAAAAGTATTGTGCAAAAAAGGTACTTTAAAAGTACATTTTTTTCAAAAACTTACTCAAGTAAATGTAACGGAGTAAATGTAACTCGTTACTACCCACCTCTGGTGCTCACACACACAAACTACACCCTTTTTGGCTCCTACCTCAAAGCACACTGTGCGCTGTCGATCTTACGTGCTGCACAATAATGTTTAATATTTAGTATTTACTGTTATATTCCCATATATCATCGTGATGTTGTTTATTCTATTGCTCTCTTTTTCTTCTGCTTGTTTTCTTTTTTCTTTGTCAACAGGTGATCCAGGTGATTGATATATGTATTTTTTGGCTGTTTGTTTTGTTGGTTTTGGGGTTTTTTGCCCTTTATCACTGTTCCTCTTCCGCACTGTTTTTCTTTCCCTCTTTCTTTCTCTCTTTTCTTTTCCCCAGTCAAGTCTGTCCCGTGTTTAGCAAGTGAAAATAAAATAAAATAAACAATAAAAGCAAAGGTGAATCAAGTAGACCAATACGGCAAGGCTGGGATGGTCCATTTGGTAAAGTAAATCCATTGGGCATCTTTATTTGCCTTTAGACAATAATTCTGATGGCAAAAGAACCAAACAGGACAGGAGAAAAAAAAATGACATATAGCATATCAATAATTTTTCCATTGCCATTCTTGACTCCCGAGGAAACTTTTGTAGAATGGTGAGTGGTACGTATGATCATTTCGCTTTATTTTTTACTGTCTGTTTAAGTTTGTGGTCATAGTGTCCCAGACCTTTTAACCCTCTGGGGTCCAGGGCATAATTGGCTGTTTTTGACTACTTTTGATTTTACCTCTATATTTCACCTTTAAAATATGTTTTTCTTGCCTTTTTTGGTATCATTATTTTCAGCACAACCTCAAATATCTGACATTTGAGTTATTTTTTTCATTTTGGTATACTATATTAGCACAGTTGATCTAAATTCAGACAAAAAATTCAAAATCCGAGTAGAAAAAAGTTATATTTCTTACTGTAAAACCCACAAACATGTTTAACGAATCATTTTAATAACTTGAAATGCAAATAGAAATTGTACATCTCTAAAAAGTATGCACAAGTTTTGCAAACAACAAAGTTATATGGTACTATTTACCTAAAAATGCAGCCAAGGCCTTTTATATAACCATTTAAATCTATTTACAGAACAATCAGGTGTGCTGCATCAAATAAGAAGGCACACAAATTATTTGTGCCAGTCCAAAAAAAAATAGTTTGTGTTCAGTATAAGACAGAGGAGAGCACCAAAGGCCTAAACCCTGCAGGTCTGACAACAGGAGGTGTATCAGTCCAGTTTTCCATGTGGGAACAGTGTTTACACTGAAATCTGCCTTTGACGGCTTTTTTAGAGCAAATATGAAATTCCGGCGTGTCCGGCGACCCCAGAGGGTTAAAGATACAAATTTGCAATAGGTTCATTTGAGTTTTCGGTGGAAAATCACACATGATTTCTTGTTCAACAGTACAACACCGAGTAATTTGCATTTGACAGGTCAATCGGGATGTTGATGTTGTAAACATACGAAGAGGAAGGAAAATATGCAAACTGGAGATGCAGATGTAGTCCAGGAGGACAGAGTTAGCACCTCGACATTTTATGACTCTCAGGACCGCTGAGACTGCTGTCTGTCTGAATGCTATTGGTGGGACTTTCATAGTGTCATGGTCCCGGGTTTGTGACCCAGCATTTTGTTGTGGTTTCTTTACTTTGCATTTGTGTGTTTTACCCGTGAGTTTAGTTTTTTCAGGTCTCTCTGAGTTTATCAGTATTTCTAGTTTGTTTCGTGTCTGCATCTTGTCCTCAGCGCCTCCTGCGGAAGTCAGTATTGTCTCCTCCTTCACCACAAGGCATTGAGTGACAAGGCTCCGGTTTGGGAACTTTAGAGATCTAGGGACTACAAGAGATCTGTCCAAAATAGGTCTCCAACCTGGCTGACTGTGATCTACTAATTGTGATGGCCAAAGCATGAGAAGGAGAAAAGAAAAGAGATGAAAACATTGATTGTTTAACTGGGAAATGTTTGAATGTTTGAGGATTTGATGCCCAGTCTGAACATTGTCCAACAGTTTACATTTAAAATGTTTGTAGAAATAAAAAATAAATAAGAATCATCCTTGGGAAGGATACTGAACTTTAAATTGTGAATATTTGCAAACACATTAATGTATAGACAAAAGTGTTACATGAATGTGTGTGATTTGGTGAATGAGACTGGTGGAGGGAGCACTTTGTGTTAGTCGATGTAAGTAAAAAGGTGTTAAGTAAGTACCAGTCCCCATATGGAAAAGATATATATA